AATATGTAAATAACACCAAAAGGTAAATGGAAAAAAGTTAAGGAGTATTACTAATCCTTAAAACTATATTTAAATTGGATGGCTATCATTCTTAATTATTTTTGTGTATATTTTTCTCAAACATTTTTATATAGCCTTTCTTATAGCATATCATGAGCATATTTCTATAAATTTATATCTACAGCTTTATTTTTAATGGTTGAAAAAGATTCCATTGTATGGAAACCCTGTTATCTAAATATATCAGTCCAGTTAGTTTAAATTGTTTCCAGTTTTTCTGTTAAAAATACTGCTGTGATGAACATTCTTGTTAAAAATTTGCATACATTCTTACTGTTTCCCTTAAGATAAATTTCTGAAAAGAAAATACCTATGTCCAGACATTTCTTTATAATTAAAATATAAGGGGAAATTACCCTGCAAAAAGCTTCCATTTGTTAACACTCCTATGAACAGTGAGAATGCCCATTTTCCCTTAGTCTCTAACAATGCTTGTTATTACCAGTTTTCTCCATCTCTGCTAATTTAATAAGTAAAATTTATCTTGCTTTAACTTGCAATTCTGATTACTACTAAGGTATTAGTATCTTTTCCAGTGTTTATTGGCCAGTTATATAAGTATATTAAGTTCTTTTTTCTTCTAATATTTTTTTTCACTTTTTAACATTTAAATTTTACTCCATCTCAAATGTTATGTGATATAAGGTATGAGGGAGGGATCTAATTTCTTGTTTTTAATCAAATGACTAACAAGTTGTCCCAATGCCATTATTAATAACTCAGTGAGCATATTAAAAAATTCACTACACAGAAAATAAGGTATTAATGGATACTCTACCCAAAAAAAAGGTCATAATGAAATGAGTTTGGGGAAAAAATCAGACCACAAAAAGCTGAACTTATTTATTGCAGAACTTCTAGCCTCTAACATACTGTATGCATTATGAATCTCCTGTATAAGAAGTTTTAGAATGCAACATTTCCCTAACTTCATTTAACTACGTAACCTTATTTTTTTCTTTCAATAACTACCTACGAAATCTTATGGGACTGTGCTGTCCAAAATAGTAGCCACTAGCCACATGTGACTATTTAAATTTAAGTTTAAATTAATTAAAATTAAATATTCAGTTCCTCAGTCACACAAGCCACATTTCAAGTGCTTTGTAATAGCCACTGTCCTGAACATTGCAGATAAAGAACATTTCCCTCACGACAGAAAGTCCTCTTGGACAGGGCTGCTATAGAACATGGTGTTCACTGAAGCACACTGCCAAACCAGTGTTTTTTTCTACTGAACCAGCAGTTTCTTCCCTTACTTTGTGTTAGCAGGTAATCAGAATGGCTCCTATTAAATTGTAAATTTTCCCTTTCAATTAGTTTTTATTACTTATTTAATTACCTTGTTCTTTAGTAATATTCAAGTAGTGTACATTTTAAGGATTTTAAGATTAATATGAAAAATAGGCTCTTCCTTTTGTTATAATCAAACTTTTATTTAGGAAGTGTTCTACTATGAATTCAGTATTAGCTTCACATAGCTACAGGAGTTGGAAGATACCATGTGGATCCTGTAGTCGCAGGGTTTGTGGATACTGACAGCACGCTAACACCCTTACCTCTCTGAGGCCGAGAGAAAAGTTTTCTCTGGAACTGGCACTCACTCTTCTTATGCCAAGAGCACAGATTGCTGCCCTAGCTAGATCTCTCCCTGATGACTTTGTGGCTTTATATAAAGAGAAAAACAATGCTTTATTTTCAAGAAAACTCTAAGGTCTGTTATTACTGCCCCAAATATAGAGAACAGGGAAAGAAACTAAATTTTTTGAGAGCCTGCTATGCATCAAACAATATACTGAGTGTTTTCACTCATGTTTTTAATTCTCATAACAACCCTGTGAGGCAAGTTTTTTTACCTCATTTTACAGATGAGGAAAATGAGTCCTGGAAAGAGAATTAATAACTTGCCCCGAGTCATGGATAGCAGGGGCAATGCCCAAGCCTAGACCCAAAGCCTCCTAGTCCCAAAACCTACAATTACATTTTGTAGGATTTTACAGATAAAGCTATGAGGCGATCATTGTCTCCCCAAATCACTCCCCAGTCTTCCTTACCATCCACTGAAAGACATAGGTCTTTTAATTCCAAAGGGATTCACTATGAATCAACAGAGGAAAACAGACAAAACAAAACCAAAGCAAAAATGGGCATGTTACAGACAGTAGTAAAATCCCTAATCTGTATTTTCTGACTCCCTTTTTTAAATATTTCATTAATCAGGCAAATAGTTGTTGTACCTCAGATAATGCCAAGTACAGTGCTCACTATATAAAGAAATATCCATAGGATGGTTCTCGATGACTCTGGGTTCTTTTGGTGTCCCCTTCTGTCTCCTTTTCCCACAGCCCATTAATAATGGGCTCATCCTCCTCCCAGTTAACCCCAACTAAAACCCCAAGACAATTTGTTAATTCTTTACTCTCTGTTATTCTCTGTCTACAATATGTTTTCCCCCTTGCCTCCCTACCCACCTACGACCATTTCCCCTGGTTTAAGTCATTTCTTCCTTCCTTTACTTTCAATAAAAATCTAATATATCTCTCCAATTCCTGTCCCTACCAATTAATCCTGTATGCTATGGCTGAATTATTAATCTTCTTAAAACACTGATCGAACCATTAATGGCTCCCCATTTCCTCGTGTATAAATTCCAAAGTCTTTCACGTGAAATTCAGTCTGTTACCACTGAGCTTCTAATAATCTTCCTCTTTCCTCATCTACCATCTATTCCCATTTCATTCCAGACAGACTGGACTACACACTTAAAGGACTTTCCTTGACTCGCTGCCTTCTTAATGCCCGTTCTCCATGCATCCAGTTCTACCTACCTTTCAAGAGCCCACTTTTATGCCGCTCTCTCCTTGAAGCCTTTCCTGATCTGAGCTCCCCTCTTACGCCCTGTTTGCTAGCAGTAATTGTTCTCTCTTCTGAATTCCCATACATTTTATTTGTGCTTTTTACAGATTCTTATCTCATTTGCCATAAGCCATCTTATATATCTTGGTATCTCCCACAACATTTAATACTAGGTATTCAGTATGTGCTTACTGACGGAAAGAACTGTATATATTCACTACGTGTTCATTGTAACATAATAGGCTTAAGCTCACTGAGGGTAGGAACTATGACTGTTTCATTCCCGTACTGTATTTCTAGCCCCTAGCATAGGAAGCACTCGATAAACATTTGTTAAATGAAATGTGTTACAGTTATCAGTTATTGAGATATCAGTTTCCTGATCACAGAATAGATAACTGAAATACTACTTTATATTTTTTAGAATCTTAGTTACCTATGTTTCTTCATTTAATATTGACAAATATAAAGGTCATACATTAATTGTCTCATTTTACAGAAGAGGATACTGAGGTTTAAAGAAATTAGTTTATGGATGATCACACAACCAGTGAGTAACAGAACTGAGCCTAAAATTCAAGTCTTCAGATGTGAACTACAGAGTTTTTCTTGGCCAAGGGTGGTGTGGCCAAACACTTGTTTGGTTCCACTTGCTTTAGAATTTTTGGGGTTAAACTATTGCAATCATGCTGTATGGAACAGAATTAGGTCCTTGTCTCTGTATTGGACATTTTCAAAATCAGACAAAACTCAAAAACTGTGTTCTGAGGGAAATCTTGGCTCTACTTATGGGTACTCCTTCCAAGTGAGATGCCTGTAGGCTTCTTTCCCTAGTTGGCTTGGCTGTCAGGAGGTGGGTCTGGCTTCAGCTGGCAGCACAGGGAGCAGATCTCCTAGCATCTGCTGGGCAGTGCGGTCTGGCACTCACTACTGCAGAGTATTCACTGAAGGCCGGGGAAGATTCAAGGAGACTTGCTTGAAGCACATGCAGTCACTCCCTTTTCATATTCATTCATTCTTAAATCCAGTCAAAGCAGCAGCATGCTGAGCAGATTGCTGTTTGCTCATCTGCCATCAGGCTGGACATGAAAGATCATTATAAGAAACAGTCCTCAGAGTTATTTCAGTGTATTATAAGGATATTGTGGGACATCATTGATTATGATATACTATGTCTTCCATGAAAATTTCTTGAAAGAAAACTGACCTTAGTACAAAGTATGCTTTTACTTCTCCTGAGCAATTGCTTTGTTTTTACCTTATGGACATTGTGAATGTTTAACTTAACGCTCTCTGGTTTGCTGCCAAAAAGCTTAGAGCCAAATTTGTGTCCCACCCATCACACATGTGCTCTATGCCTCGTTAACTTTGTTCCTGGCTCCAGTTTATGACTGCTCAAGTTATTCTTTCTTCTTAAAAAAATCTTTTTGCATGCCACCTTATTTGATATATCTATATTTATATTTATGTATATATATTTTTTCTCATAAACATCCTTATTCTATATAGCTTAGATTATGATATTCTGTATGCACATAAAACCAGCTTTGTAACCTCATGTACTTCAGCTTTTTTTCTTGAGAGATATATTTCTTTTTCTATACTGTATAGGTTTTTGCAGGGTTTTGATTGCATGAAAATGGTTGTGCCATAAATTTTTATTATTGCAGTAGTGTAACCAAGTGGTAAAACAATGGTCTAATGGCCAGAATTGGTTAAATTGATGCCATATATCTAGCCCAGTCTTTCACAGATGTGTTATTATTTACTAACAATATGCTTTGTTTTGTATTCTCAGTCTTCATGAGACAGTTTATTGTTTTGTGATTGTGCCAGATCAGTGCATAGCATTAAACTCTCTATTAGGCTCAAATATTATGTTACCTTCAACACTTATCGGACTTCTTGTCTTTGTTAGCACCTTACCTCAGGGGAGCATAGTAAATTAGTATATGAATGGATGTTTGTTTCCAAACCTCATTTGCTTTGATTGGTTTGGAGCATATCCAGATTTCCTGATCATCTTACTACTGTCATACAATTAATAACATAAATATTATTTGTACATTTTATTCTCTTTTAATATCTTCAAGTTAAAGCTATTTCACCTTTTCTACAACTTTCTGAGGCATATAAAGCAGGTATATGCCCTTCTTAAAAAGACAAAAACAAGGACAAAGTAAATGACTTGCTCAATACCAGCAAATCAGTGGTAGAGCTGGGTCTCCTGCTTCCGGTACCGCAATGACAATAGAATTTCCAACTTACATTATAAACTTCACATAGTTTTTTTCTTACCCCTTGAGGTTAAAGATGGGATATAGCCAAAGGTACATTGATTACTCATGCTTCAGCTGGGCAGAAACAGAAATTAATTTCATCTGTATTACTCTCATGATTTTCTGTTCTCAAAATTACAGTTCCTCTTAACTGCAACTGTAATCCCTGTCACTTTCCATTATGGAATGAGGAAGCAATATTTTATCTTATCTCTTGAAAATTGTGTTGAAATGGAAACTATTTCCCTTGGTAATTAGTAGCATTTTTCTTTAGACTCTTGGGAAATTCACTTTAATATAAAAACAATTTGCCATTGTTATCATATGTATTCATCAAAGGGCCAAATATATGGTTAATGCTATAGAGTTTGCTAAACATTTATTATAATTTTAACCAGTCTCTGCATTTAGAGAGGAAATTAAAAATTCATGTTAACTACTTCAGCATGAAAGATTTCCAAAGTTTTCATTCTAACTGTTAACATTCAGCCCATAAGCTAGAGTTTCTTGAATGTTTACTCTTAGCCAGGCATTGTTGCTAAACACATTACAATTATATTTAATATTTACTAAAACCCTAAAAAAGTAGCTGCTGCTTATGATTCCCCATTTTACAGCCAGGTATCATATTCAACAGTAAATACTGTCTTCTTCCTCCCCTTCAGCTTCTGGACTTTCTGAGCAGCCCCGGTCAGCACAAGATGGACCCCGTAGTCTTGAGTTACGTGGACAGTCTACTGCGGCAATCAGACGTTTCACTTTTGGATCCTCCAAGCTGGCTCAATGACCGTATTATTGGATTTGCCTTTGAGTACTTTGCCCACCATCAGTTTCGTGACTGCTCTGACCATGTCTGCTTCATCAGCCCTGAAGCCACACAGTTCATCAAGTGCGCTAGCAGTCCGGTGGAGATCGCCGTGTTCCTTGAGCCCCTGGACCTCCCCCACAGGGGAGTTGTGTTTCTAGCCATCAATGACAATTCCGACGAGGCAGCTGGGGGAACCCACTGGAGTTTGTTGGTTTATCTCCAAGATAAAAGTAGCTTTTTTCATTATGATTCCCATAGCAGGAGCAACTCCCTCCATGCCAAGCAGGTAGCAGAGAAACTGGAGGCTTTCTTAGGTAGAAAAGGAGACAAACTGGCCTTTGTGGAAGAGAAAGCCCCTGCTCAACAAAACAGCTATGACTGTGGGATGTATGTGATATGTAACACTGAGGCCTTGTGTCAGAACTTCTTCAGGCAACAGCCACAATCACTGTTGCAGCTACTCACTCCTACATATATCACAAAGAAAAGGGGAGAATGGAAAGATCTCATTGCCAAACTTGCTAAAAATTAGATCTTGAAGTATATTTGTGACTTTTGAAGTCTCCTCTCTCTGCCTGTCCCCGTTTATTAGATGGCTGCAATCTCAGTGCCTGGGGGGAGATGCCTGGTAAAAGGAAGCTTGTTGTTCTTATTTTTTCCTGAAAGAAAGTTGTCCTCCGCGTTATCCTAATGGAAAGTTTCACTTTAACCCTAACTTGAGAGCAATATGTTCTGTGAAAACATCTTAAAGTTATGCACTAAAACCTTAAAACCAAGCTATCTTTTAACATTTATTGATTCCCTTTTGGTCTCCCTTATCCACATTGGCTCATTCCAGAGGAAAAGCAGTGATCTGTAAACAAACCATGCACATAAGAAATCTAGAGAAATGCAGGAAGAACACTGCAGAGGAACCAAAACCTCCCTGCACAGCCCACATATTTAAAGAGACCAGCTGACTAGAAACAGAGCAAGACTTAACCTAATTCAAGATCTAAATATTATGAGAATCGATTATTTAGTTCTGGGGTAATCTCTTCCATTCACCATGCAAAGGCTTTCCCGGCCACCTCTGTAACCTTTGCAGATATTTGATAAAGGTGATGGGGTGATGGTAGCCTATCTTCCCCCATCTGATTTCCCTGAAGGCTTTAAGAAAAGGGAAATCTTGAGTATCTGCATCAAAATAAATGGCTGTAGCGGACCTTTCCGTTTGCTCAGTGAGTGAGTCGACTTCCTACTCTGAATTGGTAACAGCTTCTGTTCACCCTGTCTGTTAGCCATGCATACACTCCTTCCTTATATCCAAAGATCTATGGTTTTAAAACTTATAGCTGATGACTTCCCAAGGATACCTGTCATTTCAGATAAATATTTCTGCTCCCTCTCCTCTCTATCCTTAACCTGGCAGAACTGTTCTCAGTATGTCATGGTGATTTCAGGAATGCTATTGTATGTACAACTTGCAGACTATAAATTGGTTTGTTTTTGAGATGTAAAGGAAGAAAAGTGACCTTTCTCGACCCTTTCACTTAATTCAAAATGCAATGTAATTTTTTTAATGTAGAACCGAGAGTAAAAAGAAATGCAATCCCTCCTAAATCACTGATGTTTTTTTTCAGAGTTGTTTCAAATAACTAATAACCAGATGATATGTTGGGTACACACATTAATTCTGTTCCTAATGAGAATTAGATTACAATGCACATGAGACTTGGAAACCCGAGATTAGTTTCAGCTATGAAATTTATTTCAGCTCCCTCCCCAGCTTGACCCTGCCCCCAGCCTGCAGAGCCCAAAATAACCTTACCACTCAGTGACCACAGAGACAGTAATTCAGTTCCTTTTAGTCAGGGACAGAAACGAAGTGTAAATAATACAGGTTACATAGCAGGCCTGAATGAACACAAGTTGAAACAAAGTCAAAGAAAGCTATGAAAAAGTTCCCAGTATATTTTGGATAAAAAGTAGACAAATGGAAAATGGGGGCAGGAAAAAAGATAAGGAGGTATCTCAGCAGGGGACAGCAAGAGTGAGGTTTCTGGGGCCATGAGTATAGACAAGATAATAAAGCAGTCCTATTTCAATATACTGTTGATATAGGCATCTACGCTAGACAGAGAGTCAAATCCTCTGTGGGAAAAGCTGTCAATCTGATAATGCAACATATGTCTGTTTAAATGTCAGATTGTCTCTCATCAATACATAGGAGAGCAATCTTTTCTAACTCTTAAGATTAGTCCCAGAAATAAGTCATTCTTTGGAACTAAATTAGTAAAGTCTTTTTAAAAAAAGATAAACACAGACTATGCCACAGGTGAGTCTCCTTCCATAAAACTCTGAGTATGCCGTGTGTATGTGTGTGCTTTATAAAAGGAGAATTTAAGAGTTTTAGTTTTTCACTATATAGTGCAATAGCCCAAAACTTGTGCACCTACTTGACCATTTACCAATGATGCTACGTGATGCAAAATAAGAGGAAGATCTTCTGTGGTGCTGTACCCCCTTCTTAGTGCGAAAGAGGCCAGTCTACAGAACTCACCTTCAAAAGATTGAAAAGGAAAGCAGGTTATTCAGAACTGGATTGAGCAGTTATTACACTGAACTGTTCTCAGATATTGTACTGCTCCATCCGTGTACTCACATTTGTCCAACCTGCATCTCGTATGGAATTTAGAAAGATGAATTTCTGTAGATGGTGGTCAGAAATAAGTATCAGAGGGTTTTCTTTTTAACACTGTCCAAATCATAAATATTTCTGCCCCTTGGCTAGATAGCTGTTGAAATTGATAAGCACTAGGCTTAATTGGATCAAAAGAATTAAAAAATCACAACTGGATTATATTTCTGATACCTACCTTATTTTCATTCTGTAATTTTTACTATATCCATATTGACCATATGTTTTAATAATAGGTATTCCATTGAAATGACAAAGTAGAATTTCTCAGTCACATGGTTATTTACTGATATTGAAAGTTTTCTTCACTGCTTAAAATGGAAAGGGAGGGGGAATGAATATATTGACAGAAATTTACATGTTGTGGCGCAGGAAAGAGCAAGACTGTTTTAATCAAATACAAGTCCTGTCAGGTATGACTTTGAGCCTCAGGCAAATTTGAGATTGCCTGGCCTCATCTCCAGAATGAAGATAGTAGTCTGTTTCAGCCAACACTGCAAGGATTAGGTATCATTTATAAAGCATATAGTGGACAATCAAATAAACATATTCCCTTTCTGCCTACTGCCCAGTTCCATTTTAAGATTGGCAAAAAGTTTAAAAACTAAATTTTATATTACAGCTAAACAGCTATGCAAAAAAATGGCCTGATAAATACTATTATGTACAAAAGAGAAAACTTATTCAAGGATTGTAAACAGCAACAACTAATCTTTGTGTCATTTTACAACATGCAAGTTACTTTATTATATATAATTAGTATACATGTTCTCATTTAATTGTCATATCTTTCTCTGTTTATAGATAAACAATCTCAGAGAAGCACAATCACATGATTGGAAGTGACAGGGCCTCCACTTCCCCACACTATTTCACCTAATTCCTTTCTCCCTTTTCTGAGAAATTGGTGGCAAGAACTCCTTGCTTGAACATTTCAAATGTAATCTGGCCTGACTGTACAAATTTCATAAATTCTGCTGGTATGTTACAGAAACCAATAATGAGAAATTGTCTTCTCAATTAACTTCCAGTAACAGAACCTACATAACAACTGGTTTTGCTTTATACTTTAGGTCATATTTGGATCACCTCCTGATTACTGATGGATCTACTGATCTAAGGCATTTTGAAAGTCCTACATTGTACTTCCTTTCAGGTTACATGTATATGAAAGATGGCAGGTAGAACAAAAGCAGCAGTCTAGGGAATCTCATAAAAAAAGAGAGGGCTTAAAGGAATTGGGTCAAATTAGTGTAGCCAAGCAAAGATGGGGCACTCTACAGAAGTGGGAAGATTGGTCACTGACTTCCAAAATGAGACAGATGAAATTCCAGTAAGAAAAAGTCACGTGCTATGTATATTTAAATGAAATTTCCTTCTGTAAGGAAACTAACATGTCAGAGTTAAAAGGAAGTGGTAGCCAACTTCACTATCACTAGCAGGGAAGAGTTACCATTACTCTGGAAAAGATCAATCTTAGATCCTGCAGTTTGTGTTAAAAGACAAGGGAGAATAACTTTCTGGCTCTTTGCCCTCTGTGTTCAAACAAAGCAACCTGTGTTTGGAGGAAAGCCCTTTCCCCATGATGCAAGCTGGGATAAGGTTTTGTGCCCCAGGCTATGCATCCCTAGCCAGTTCACATCCCAGCTCTCTGCAGCTACTGTCTCAATCTTCATTCCTCAAACCTGTGCAGCCCTCAGCTCCTGCACTCCAACTTCAGAAAGAAAAGTAGGAACTACCATGAACTTCACTTTCCACCAAATCTGCAAACGTACCTACATGTGTGCCCATCTGTAAGCCTTCCTCCCTCCTACTGCAGTGACCCTCACAGCGAGGGCCAATCCCCTGCCCTGTGCAAAGGGATTTCTTGCAAACAATTCCTTCACAGATACAAGCACATCATCACCCTCTCTCTGCCAGCTCCTTTCCATCAACATTTAGATCATAGAAGTATTAAATCTCCCCCTCTTTAAAAATAAATAAAAGCACAACTTCCTATCTCCCTCTATATGCTGACTTTTCTGCCTTCCTCCTTTTCCAGCCAGATCTGAAGTGTCACGAGTCCTCAGCTCCCTCCCACTTCTCAACCCAGTTGAATCTAGACTCTGCTCCCACACTCTACAAAAACACTGACGATTATTTTACTAGTACTCCTTGCAACATTAAATCCTCCTTTTCAAATCACTGTTCCTTTAACTGATGTGATGATACCTACTTTTCCTACGTACTGCTCTGACCACTCTTATTTGCTAGTTTCTTCTCTGCTTGCTGTAGATTCTCAGGGTTTTGCCCCCAAAACCTTCTACTCATTCTGTGCACATTTCCTAGCGTCTCCTATCCATTCTCCAGGCCAGCCACAGATTTGGGCACTTCAGACCTGTACTTCTCTCCTGAACTCTCCCTAACTTCTACCTGTAGATCCCTGTAACAGCCTGCCAGACATTTTCCCTTGGGTATTTCCAAGGCTATCCAAACCTACTAAATCCCAAAACTCATCTTCTCCCGTCAAGCTTGCTCTATCAGTATTCCTTACCTCTGCCCCACCCAGTTCTAGCCAGAAATCTAGGAGCCGTCCTTGGCTTCTCTCTTCACATCTATCAATCTCCTAGTCATGTTGATTCTACATCTTAAATATCCTTTAAATCCATATATTTCTGTCACCAATGCCACCACTCCAGTCCAAATGACCATGATCTTTCATCTGGACTGCCCAAGTCCTTTCTTACATGGTCCTCCGGTATTCGTGCGTACTCTCCAGTCCATTTTATACCCTGCCAACATCTTCAGTAAGGCTCCGCACAATCTGCCCCTCCTGTTTCTGCCTCTTCACAAGTCAGACCACTCCTGCCCTCGTTTACTGTGCTCCAACTCTGCAGACCTTTTAGTTCCTCCAATGCAACACATTTTCTCCCCTTAAAGCCTTCCTGCTTGCTCCTCTCTCCCCCTCTAACCATCCCACACTCTTCCCTGGGGAAATTCCAATGTGATCTCCTCCTTAGAGAAATCTTCCCTGATGCACCAGACTAGGTCGCTTTCCTTGTTGAACAGTTCCCAAGGATCACGAACCCTCTCGGTGTGCCCCAATCACATATAATTTTTGGTGTTCTATTTCTTTTTCCACTAAACTGTAAAAGCCCTAGAGACCAGAAACCATGTCTTATTCATACATCATTGAATCCCTGCTGCTTAATATAGTGCCTGGCACATAGACCCTGGTTGTTACTTGTTGAATGGATAAATACAAATATAGAAGCAATTTATCAAAACAGCCCATCATCCTTCCAGGGCAATGCAGCAGAAATCAAAATGCCATGTTAGTCAGCAAAATATTTCATGCTTGCATAAGAGAAAGCTATTGTGGGGGTAGAGTTTGATGAACTTAGGCAACCTTACAGAATAGGGAACTCACTAAACATGTAACTCTAACCATGGGCGTCTTCAATTAATCTGCTGATTTCTTAGAGGTTTTCACATTTCACATAGTTGTAACCCATGTATAAGCATATTTTAGTTCTGATTTTTGCCTTTTCCACCCTTAAATGTTTTTATGTTTAAAGGTAGCATGGGGTTTCACCTAGGTAACAGGCCATGATGTTCTTAGCCATCTCCCCACTTTGGGGCTTGCTGGCTACTTCTGACGTTGTCATGAATAGCACTGCTGCAAACACTCTTCATAAATAACTCCTTCATTCCATATTATCTCCTTGAGGAATACAAAAGTGGAACTGAGACATCCCTTCATATAGATAGCCAGAGAGTTCTCGAAAGAATCAGTGTATAGCACCATTAATGTGTTATATATATATGTGTATCTAATTCTAAGTAGCCCTACCAACATTAGGTTTTATACATGTTTAAATTCATTCCTTGAAATTTAGTAGATAATAACGAACATTTATTGGCTCTTTCTATGGTCCAGAGACTTACAAGCATTTCACATGAATTTTCCTATTTAATAATGACCCAAACCTGTAAGGTAAGTACTACTATCCCCCTTTTAGAGATGAGAAAACTGAGGCTTAGAGTTGCCCGAGTTAAGTAAATTGATGAGGTTCAGATGCAGATGTACTGATTCCAGAGCAGCAGCCTGTACTCTTGACCACCATGACATACTGCCTCCGGTTGATTGTTGGTAGTAGTAGTGGGGGATTTTTTTTGTTTTGTTTTAATTATTTACCTAAAAGGAAAATTTTGTGCTGTTAAGCACAAAAACTGAATGTGGCTTTTCTGGTTTCAGGAGCACAGCATAAACTATTGCTAGAGAGCCTGTTTGTTGCGGTGTAAATATCTAGATAGACCTTTTTTGGCTGAGACACATCAACTCCCTGGGTTTAGCCTGAGTGGGCCCGGAGGTTATAAAGAGACATCGGTCTCTAAATAATAAGAGGAAAGAAATTTGGATTTTCATTGGATGTCCTAGAAAAAGAGAATGAGACTAGGAAAGAAAGAAGTGGAGGGAGGCTGGTGAAAAGAAATGAGATGGGGTGCATGCTAGAGACATAGCAGGAGTCAGGGCCTCCTGGAGAACATGGACAGTGAGAAGCTTCCTGAGACAGTAGGGAATGGCTGTTAAATTTCTACAAGCAGTCATGCATGCATTGAATTTGAGGTTTTCTGCCTTGTGCTATCATCTTCCTTTAACTCCAAACCTTTTGTGCAATTTGGGTACATCTGACCATTCAGTGCAAATCATTTGGAGGAATGAAGGATGAGCAAGAGGGCAACAGCCAAAGGAACAGGAGACAACATACAAGCAGGCTGCACCATGATCTGACGCAGGACATACAGAAGCAACCTTGGAAACACTTGGAAAAATTGAGGTCCCAGGACTTCCCACAGTGGTTGGAAATGGAGCTCAGGCTATTTTTGTATCAAAAGAATGACCCTTTAAATTAAATTGCTTGCAGTTGTCCAAATTGGAAACTACTGGGTCACATTCAAGTAGAAAGAACTTTTGATGAGCCACAATAAAAGAAATTTGATTAGCGGCATTTGCCAGTCTCCTCCTTGATAATGGTGATGAGCTCCCAGAATGCCAAACTCTCCTGGTTTTCCTCCTTCCTCATTAGGTACCCAACCATTTCGTTTGCTATTTCTTCCCTTTCTTCTTGATCCTTACTTATGGTGGAGCACAGGGCTTAGTCCTCCATCCTCTCCTCTATCGACACTCGGCCCCTTGGTGATCTCATCCATTCTTATGCTTTTAAATACCATCCATATGTCAACTGTTTCCAAATTTGTATCTCCCAGCCTTCACTCCTGAGCTCCAGACCCACATAGCTTATTGCCCACTTGGCAGCACCACTTGGATGTCTAGAACTCACCTCAAACTTACCATGTCCAATAGTACATTTCTGATCTTCCTTCCAGAAACTGCACCCTTGTGACTTCCTCCATCTCAGTTGATGGCAACTCTATCCATCCTTTGAAGACAAAAAACATGGAGTCATCCTTTATGACAATTGTTTATATTCATCTCTAGTTTGACAGGAAATCCTTTTGTTTTTCCCTTCAGAATATATCCAGAATCTACCATTTCCACCATCTCTCCTTCCATCACCCTCGTCACAGCCACCATCTCTCACCTTTGTTGCCACAAGTCTCCTGATTTCCCGCCTTCCTCATTCCCCTCCCTAACGGCCAAGCATAAGCCTTTAAAAACCTATATAATAAAAGCTTATTATTCACCCCTCTGCTTCCCATTTCATTCAAAATAAAAGTCAGTTCTTAACAGTTGTCTTATATGGTGTCCCCACCATTACCTCTTCGGCCTCATTTCCTAGTCCTTTCCCCTTGTTCTCTCTCTCCAGCTAACCCTGCATCTTTGATGCTCTCCTGAGCAAGCCGGCCGCTCTCCCTGCTCACACGTTTTGCATCGGCTATTCATCCTGCCTGGAATGCCCAGCTAAGTTTATTCTCTCACTTCTTTTAAGCTTGTGCTTAAATATGAACTTCTCAATCAGAAGCTCCCTGACCATCCTCTTTTAATTCGGTTTTTCAATCATTTCCAATCCCCTTTCCTTGCTCTGCATTTTTTCCTTTAGCGCTTACCACCTTCCAACATGCTGTATTATGTATTTATCTTTATTGCTTATTTTCTTATCTCCTTCCCCTCACCACTAGAATATATAAGCTCCATGGAGGCAAAGATTGTTAATCTTCTTTGTTCATTAATATCTTCCGAGCACACAGCACCGTGCCTAGCCCAAAGTAGGCACTCAGTGATAATTATTTGAATTAAAAAAATTGAAATTGTGTCATCCCCAGCAACAGAATGAGAATCTGAGTCCAGAATTTTGTACAACACAGGCAATCTCCTTTAGACCAGGGCTCAGTAAACTTTTTCTTAAAGAGCCAGAGAGTAAATCTTATAGGCTTACAGATCAGATGTTCTCTGTTGTAACTACTAACACTGCCTTCCAAGCTCCATGACAGCCAGAGACCATATATAAACAAACGGGCATGACTGTGTTCTAATAAAACTATTCACAAAAATAAGTCGTTGACAGCATCTTACGACGCTGATGGACAGGGACTGTAATGCGGTATGTGGGGGGGACTTGGTGATGGGGGATGTCTAGTAACCATAATGTTCCTCATGTAATTGTGGATTAATGATACCAAAAAATAAAATGAATAAAAAAATAAAATAAGTAGTTGGCCAGAGGGTTGTACTTCACTGATTCCTGCTTTAGACAAAGACACATCTTGGTATATTCTTGCTATATCATAGATCTTCATTGGCAGGCCAGGACCTATTCATCTACTGTACCAGTTGTCAGAAACAGGATTTTAGAAAGGTGAACACAAACCCAGCAAAATCACAGATCAATAGCTTCTCTCACTGCAGACAGATTGGGCATTCCTCACTCAGAGCGGCCACTGAGTAAGATGTGTCTTGGGAGCTGGGGGTAGGGAGAGAAATCCTAGTATCAGCCACTTTCTTGCTAATGAGTCCAGAGAGCACTTCGTCTGTGCTTCGGGAGTATCCTCCAGAGGTTTCTAATATGCAGAATAATCTACTTCAGAAGCTTCTTTTCTCTAGGCCATTAAGTTCTTCGCACTGATGATCGATTTCCTCTGACAAGGAAACCATTTTTACTTTTGTCAGCTATTTTAAAAGTCAGTCGATTGATGCAGTTGGTTATGAAAACACTTGCCAATATTTTGAGACCCAGACCCTAATCACCTGCCATGTAGACTAGTGAGTCTCAGGGGCAATTCTGCCCCCACCCCTACCCCCAGGGGACATTTGGCAATGTCTGGAGATGCTTTGGGTTGTCACAACCAGGGGTACAGGGTGCTACCGGCATCAGGTGGTAAGAGGCCAAAGATGTGGCTCAGCACCCTGCAATCCATGGAATAACCGACCATAACAAAGATCATGCAGCCCAAAGTGTCAGCAGTGCTGACGCAGAGAAACTATGACCTTGACTGCTCGGCTTGACTTTTAATCGACCCTGTACTCCGTTGCCACACCAATATTTCCAAGTCCCTCACTCCTGAACTCCAGTAGTTCCAGTAGCTCCTCATTGCCTGAATCAAGTCCCTCCTTCTCATCCTGGCATTTAGATCCCAAGGGACTTTGTCCACTTACATGTTTGTTCCCCAGCAAGAACTCTGCTCCTCGCAAGGCTTTCATCTGTACCATCCTCCACACAACCATCCTTTTACCAGGTCACCCCTCCAAACACACATCTTGTCAGGATCCTCCCCACATCTCCTCTGATCCTAATCTTGCACATTCTTGGAAGCCCACGCATGCCGCACACCCCTCTGCCACTGAGGCAGTCTATACGCTCCCCGTGCACTATGGGTGCACATGCCTTACACTGTCAGAAAGCTATTCCCCCTGTTTTGTCTCCTCAATGAACCCCCTGAAGGGTTCCATAATTCGTCTCTGGCCTATCAGTCTCAGTTCCCACAGTGCAAGGTGTGAGGGCTGTAGTGTTGTATTGAGAGTTTCTTGTATTTAGAGTCAAATGAGATCATTATGAAAAGCTCCTTGTATAGGGCCTGGTACCCAGTTAAGTGCTCAGAAACTTTCAGTATCCATAGAAGCATGCATTCAGGAGCCCATACTAAGTGCTTAATAAATATTTTAAATGTAATCATGTACTGGAGCAGGCACGCATTCAGACTAGCCTGGTATTTGGAACTAGCAGTAAAGAAAATCTTCCATCAGAAATCCTACACCATAACACGCCTTCATGCTAGAGTGGGTCCAGAAGCAGGGGGTGTCACATTTTCCCAAAGTGGTGCCTCAGCCAACCTTTCTGCATTTAACAAGTTAATGAACAGCTTGCGAACAACATTTTGCCCACTCTGGCCCAGTTTAGAAGGCTGCCAATAGGGTAAGAAGACAATATGCCAATCTGCTTTGCCCGGGGTCCCAGCTACAGCCTTCCTAAGGGCTTCTGCTCTCAGCCCCTGGAGGGTCGGTGCCCATAGAGAAGTCGGGCCCAGCGGGATGGGGCGAGGCAGGGGCCTGGCCTGTCCCCAAGCGGGAGAGAGCCTGTCTCAGATCCTGCGAGAGAAGTGCGTGGGGCATGGTATTCCAAGCAGCCCAGGCTTGGCTCTAGGCCAGGCACTGAGGGGCAAACAAGAAGGAACACATTCCGGGGAGGCAAAGAGCCCTGCCAGTGTGAAGGGGGCCGGCAAGCAGGGCGTGCTGGGCGCCAGGTGCTCCTTGGCTCAGTGGAGGTCAGGCACGCAGAGGGATGAACTCGGGTTTCTCTATCATTTCAGAGGCTTAAATGCCTCCCTCCCACTCACGTTCAGTGGATAAAGTTAACCATTACATTTGAATCCTCTCTGCTCCGGGGTCCACCCCCTTGTCTCTAAATGAGGGTAGGATAGTGTTCAACCCATCCCATCATTTTTGGGATGGAGTGTTCTTGCCTCCTGAAATCCCCCTTGGCAGGAGCCAGGTTTCTATAATTCTGGGCCCTGAGAAAGGGAAGGTGGTTACTGCCAGCGAGGGAGGGCAGGTCAGGGGAAGCCCGGGGTTTCTGTGCCCTTGTGGAAAAGAAGCTGAGCTCCCCACTCGCCCCCTGTGGTCCCAGCGCCCACCCACCCCAAACACAAACGAACGTTCGTCGCGCCTTCCAGCCCTGCCTTCCTCCTGGCCTGACCTTCAGAGGGTCTGGAGAGTCATTGGGGACCGATCTCCTTTGAGAATCACCTCGGGCCCTCCACGGGGCTGTGAAAGGGGAGAAGAGAAAGCACCAGAGGGGACAGAGGAGACATGGCCACGTAAGCCTGCCGTGGCTTCCCTTCTGCCATTGGACAGGGGGAGCACTGGACTCGCACCAGGCGTGGGGCCTTCTGGACTTTGCTGCCACCTAGTGGCCCGTTCGCATCACCGCCCCTCGAGAGGGACCAGCCCGGAGATCTGACCTCAGTCCCCGCTGGAGCCAACCCGACAGCCTTCCTTGAGAAGCTCCCCTGCCCTAGTGAATGCCCTCATTCTGCGGCCCAGCAGCTAGGGAAGAGGGACAGCACAGGCGTGACGTGTCCTCAAAACTTATCCATGCTTTAGTGTATGTCAGAATTGTCTTCATTTTTAAGGCTGAATAATATTCCATTGTATATATCTACCATATTTTGTCCATTCATCTGTCAATAGACACGGATTGCTTCCACCTTTTGGCTATTGTGAATAATACTGTGGGTGAGGGTGTACAGATAGCCACTGGAGACTGCTTTCATTTGAATATATACCCAGAAATGGATCATATGGGAATACCATTTTTAATTTAAGAACTGCCGTACTTTTTTCCACAGTGGCTGTACAATATTACATTCCCCCCAACAGTGCATAAGTGTTCTAATTTCTCCACATCCTTGCCAACACTAATTTTCTGTTGATAGTAGCTCTCCTAATGGGTGTGAAGTGGTATCTGATTGTAGTCTTGATTTGCATTCCCCAAATGACTAGTGATGGTCAGATCTTTTCGTGTGGTTGTCATTTGTGTATATTCTTCAGAGAAATGTCTATGCAAGTCCTTTACCCATTTTTAAATAGGTTGTTTGTTTTGTTGTTCACTTGACCTCTCCAACTATCTCACTTTCTAAGATGAGTGTCCCAGAAAGCTTTTCACTATCTCACTATCTAGGACTAGTGTCCTAGAGTCAGGCAGGTCTCTCTGTTCCTCAGAGACGTATGTACTCTTCTCCACCTTTTGCAATTTCTGACCCTGGAATAATTTCCCCAGCTCCTCCCATAAATAACTGTCTCCTCATCCTTTAAGCACCAGCTTGATTCTCACTTCAGAGAGCCTTCCTTGACCACCCATCTAAAGCCATCTCCTTATTTACTCTATCTTGTATCACTGTTACTTTCCTTCATGGAACTTATCCCAGTCACAATCTGCAATCCCATTGTTAGTTTATTTGTTTACTTTGAACTTACGTTTACATGAGAAACAAGTGCCATGGAGACATGGAGGTATCGCCGGACATGTTCACTGTTATATCCCCCGTGCCTAGCATAGTACCTGGCTCACAATCTGGGCTCTGTATTCACTGAATGAGGGAGCATCACTCAGTAGATTTATAGTAGAGGGAGCGTCCTAGGGAGACAGAGAGGTGATATGGCCCAAATTGGAATTTAACTTCCCTAATCTAGGCTCAATGTCATAGAAAAGGACACAGAAGTTTTCTGGCTCTGAGTTCTGGGCTTTAATTCCGGAGTCAGAAGCACCATCCTATTCACACCAGGGACGCTGCTTTGGAGTTTCCCAGGAGACATGGGGAAGCATTCTTGGTGCCCACCCATCAAAGGCAGAAAGCAACGGTGGTTTGCGTGGCCATCCTTCCCCTTCCCCATATGCCTGAATTGTGAGTCAGCTCCACTCAAGTCTTGTGAGGTTTACAGGGTGCTTGGGATTCTGGGAATGACTTTGGCCCTATCAGCTTCTTTGGTGCCAAATATGTCAGTAGGAGGACCTTTAGTGAGTACTCAAAAGATAAAAATGAATTTTCCATAACACAGGACATTTTTTAAAAATCAGACTTTTTATTTAAAAATATTTTCAAAGACTAATGCCCTAGTGCTACAACCCAAGGATAGTCGAACCAAACTCTTAGGGAATTAGAGGGACACCGGCCAGTGCAAGCAAGGCCTGTCTAAATGTGTCTCGTTTATAAATGAGCACAACAGAAGGTGCAGGAGCCTTACAGAACCAGCTAGGAGACAGGGGGAGAAAGAGAGGGCTCTCAAGAGGGGCAGGCATGCTTATGCCACCTAAAGCCCTGAACCCCAGGAGGGCCTCCAAAGCCACCTACCCTACAGTCTGCCTCCTGTCCCTGCTCAGCCTGGAGCACTCACCAGCATCCTGGCACAGTCACCCATGACTTGGCACTTCTCATGGTCTCTCATGAACCTCTGGTTCAACCCAGCAAGGCTCAGAAAATGGATCTATTCTCCCTGCATTTTAGCAGGCACCAGGGAGGGGGGGTGCTGGGGCAAGTAGGATTATTTCCCTGCAAATATGATGGAAAGAAGCAATGAAGGGGGGCCGCTCCAAAAAAAGGTTGGCCGTTCGTCCAGTGTGGCACTCTGGGGAGAACAGAAGAGTGAATTTCACCGGGGACATACAGATTTGGTGCAAGCAACCCACGAGGCACAGGGGCCCGGCTCAGTCCTAGCACCTGGGATGGGGAAAGAATGAACAGCCTGCACGGTGCAAAGGGCGCTGCCACCTGTCCTCCTGTCCTCATTTGGGTTTCTCATAAACAGAACAGACAAGCATGGGGCCATAATAAATCATTTCCATCTGGATTTCTCCCCATTAACCTCTCAGGTGTCTCGAGAGGGAAAGAGTAGCTATTTCTGACACTACCCACCCCATCAACAGGGCTTCTCCATAATACTTCTAGCCTCCCCATAAAGGCCCTTCCAGAACCTCCAAGTGCACCGTCTTAGCAGATGGGAGTCCCAGGGAGAGCAGGCCAGCAGTCTGAGGCACAGAGAAGCTTTTCAGAATACAGGCCTTGACAGAGAAGAGGACTACGGCAAAGCTACCATCATGCCTACTCTTCCAACCCCTCCCTCTCGTCTCCAGAGCTATCCGACAGAGCCCCTTGGCTGGTACCCCCACTACATCAGGCCCACCTCGCACACCTCCACCTGCTTCATAGGGAACAGAGCCCGTGGAGCAGAGGAACCCCCTCCATGGCCTGCAGCACACTGACTGCAGGCGACACAGGTGAGCCCTGCCTTCCTGCCTGGGGCAGCCCAACACCATCACGCTGCCCACCCGACAGGCTACTACTGGCCAAGCCTGAGGTCTGGGCAGTCAGGCAGGGAGCACAAAGCAAGACGTCAAATCAAAGCCACCACCCCTCCCACCCTTCCCATCCCCTACTTCCTGCCTGGGGCACCATGGAAACTTTGAGCCCCCGAGGAAGACCCAGTGCCAGTCTGTGGCCACAGTGATCAAAGGCCCCGCCCCACCTGCCTCCCTAGGAACCGTTAGCTGAGGACACAGAACGCCAGTCCTCTGCCCTCCTTCACAGCCCCGGCCGGTGTCCCTCGTGCGGGCAGTGAGCCGCAGCACAGAGCACGAACCGTCCTCTCCTGCTGGAATCTAGCCACGAGCCCTCCTCTCCTCACTCATTGCCCCACCTTCCCTCCGGGCTGCTCCAGGTCTGCTGGGTGCCTGGATCCCTTACAAGAAGCCCTGTGGCCCCAGAACAGGGACTCTCAGGGGTCCAGGTGAGAGCGCAGCGCGCTGGGAGAGAGCAGAGCCCACACTGGTGGCTTGAGTTCTGGCCTCGGTCCCCCCATTGGAGTGAGCCATGTGACAGAGAGCCGCATTCCAGCTATCGGAACCTGGCCTCTGTCCCTTGGCGTGGCGTTAGTGTTCTGCCCGTGTGCCAGACTGTTTCCAAGGAGCAAGTTCATTTTTTTGTTTGTTTGAGTGGTTGCTGAAGCTTAGCGTACAGAATTCCTCAGTGGGTTCCAAAATCTGCCATTTTGTCTGAGTCCCAAAACTGTAGGAGCTTTGTAAACAAGTACTTCAGATCACTCACTAAAGGAGGGAGAGTTGGAGGAAAGGAAGGATCTGGAATATTTTCCTTCATACACAGTCTCAGCACAGCAGCAGCATAAACCATGGAGATTGTCAGCAGGAGCTTAGCACCCAGAGCATCCTTCTCGGAGGAGTGGGACAGAGGCCCAGCAGCTACTACCTGCACACAGGAGAGACCCCAGATCAGAGGAAGGACTGGAAGGCAGGCAGACAGGTCAGGGAAGCCCTTCTGCCTCCAGGAGAGCCGGTCAGGGTGGGATGTGTGTACCTACGCACTCTGCCAGTCCTGCTTAGGGCTGTCAAGCTAGCTCAAGGGCAGGGCCAAGGCCAACCAGGGAAACAAGCAGCCTGGACATAGGTATTGGCTCCTCTCCTTTGCCCTCCAACCCACAGACATTAGGAGGAGAAAGGGTATCACCTGTGCCCAGGGGCAGGGACATCCCGACTCAGGGAGCATAACTGCTGTTCCAGCTGGGAGATGCGGAAGGCCAGGTATGATGAGAACGCGACCAGGAAGCAGGTCCTGGAGAAAGAGAGGTCAGGAGGGGCTCCCCCCTACTCTATCCGACGGCCCTCTCCAATTTTGCCAGCTCTCCCCCTCCCCCTTCCCAGGCAACTTTTCTTTTTCTCAATAATTTCATATCCTTCCTTCCCCACTGCATTGCCTTAACTCTGAATTACGGGGCTGGAAGAATAAAAATTGGAGATACTTAGTCTTGCTACAGAAGGGCTGGCTTTGTAGCCTCCAGACACCACCAGGATCTTCCTGTTGAGTCAAAACCTTCCCTGCACTCGACATGCCCTCCCCTCCCCTCACAGCAAGGCCCCAAACACCCAGACCCCAGGCGGCTTGCCCTCCCCCGCAGTACAGCACCTACAGCACAATGAAGACCTTGAGGAACTGGTAATCCCAGAGCCACAGCTCCCTGCCCCTCCTGGGCTCCTCCAGATTCTTCTCCTCACAGACAGCATTTCCTGCAACCAGACAGCAGCTAGGCATCTTCCCAGGGCAGGAGGCAAGCCCCCACCCCCACCCCGCCTCTGAAGCTGCTTGGCTTTCGGCTGTCCGGCTGTCCGTTACAGATTTGGAGAATGAAAGAAAGAGCTCTCAGAGGCCTTGCTCACTGTGATGACCCCTTTTCAGAGAAAGGGGAGGAAGAGAAGCCTGGTCTTTGCCAGCAGTTGCCATGGACAAGTCCCCTGAACTCACCACACCCTGGAGGCTTCCCGGAGGGGAAGAAGCTGTCCGTGGAGTCCATGGATACCCGAGGGACACGAAGGATGTTGTCTGGGAGGGACAGGGACCTCGAGGCAGGGCACACTTTTCTCCACTTCATCTCAGGGATGAGGACTTCCTGCTGAGAAGGCAGGAGGAGCTGTCTTACCATGGCCCTTGGAATCTCACTTGCATAAGGCGCCCACACTACGTTTATCAAAGCTTTTCCAGATATTACCAAAACAGTCATCCGGGAAGCATGGAAGCCAAAGCCCGGAATGGGGAAAACCACTGCCGCCTACCTGCCTCCTTACTGTGACCAGCTGCTCCATCAGGGCATAATGTCTTTGAAGACTAGTGTAGAACCACAGCGGGATCTCAGATGGGAGCCAACCAGGACTCTAATGTATCTTGGACGGGATAAATCGTGACTCCTAATCTGGGCTCCAGCCCTAAGTGCAGCACTGACCTTGGCATGGGCGCTTAAGGTTCCCAGCAACAAAAATGGGAACATCACCTTCTATCCCCTGCATGGCACTGTGCATATTGCATGCTTGGGTAACCATTACATAGTTAGCAAGGGAGGCTTCAAACACCCTGAGGTCATTTCCACCCCCATCCCTGCCCCAGAAACAGCTCTGCCTACCTAGAACTCCTGCAGCAAAGGAAACTGCTGGGACCGTAGCAGATCTAAAATGAGCCTGTCTGCATTCTACAGTAATAGCTTTGGAGTTCTTCCTCGGGGCCATCTCTGTCCCCTCGAAGGCCCTCCTGACTCTGCTAAGGGAAAGAGGACAGGTCACTGGCTTCTTTGTTTATAACAGGTGTGGGATCCAACCCGGGGGGTGTTCAGGGGGCTGCACATCTGTGCTGCCCGTAGTCAGCAAATCTGCCCAGGACCATGGCATGGAGTGTGGCAGGTCTCGGGGACCCCCCGCCCCCTAGCACAGCATGGCCACTGGCTCTCGGGTCCGGCGCCCAGGTGTGCACTGTGGCCCCAGGAGACCTCAGGCCATCAGCTTTGGCTCCCAGCCTCAGTGCTCACCAGAGACTCGCACTCAGGTTCCTCCAGAAGTTCTCTTACACTCAGACTCTTCTTGCCGGAAGGCTGAGGAGGGAAGAGGACAGGGATCGTGGCGCCTGGACCAGCCGGAGTCAGGCATGGGGAGCGTGAGCAGTCTCCGGGGCAGCTTTACCTCCAGACGAGCCCCTCGGGGTCAGATGGAGCCTAGCGCCCAGCATCTGCAGGGGGCGCCCTGGTCAATGCCGCCGCGGAGGGCAAATGCGAGACGGCCTACTCCCCGACTGCCGCCCCCACCTCCTCACCAAGGGCCAGAGAGACTTGCAGGCATATTGGGAAGTGGCCCTGTGTCCTGTCTGTACCCGGAAGAAGCACAACTTGGGCAAATGCCTGGAGAAACACGATGGCCCGCCAGCCTCAAGCGTAGGCACAGTCCCCAGACTGCCGCTGCCGCTGCCGCTGAGCCTGTTCCCGCCCTCTCCCTGCTCCTCTTCCCGGTGCTCCACACATGGGCCAGCCTCCCCCAACAGCCTGTCCCCAAACCTCAGTCCAGGCCTGAGCAGCCCCCAGCACTCGCCCCTGAGCTCCATACCTGAAGGTGGGTGCAGACCCTCTTCAGCACGTCATACACGCTGTCGCGGGACAGCAGTGACACAAAGACATACTGGACATAGGACGAAAACAGAACGGGGTGGGGTAAGTGCAGACCTGGGAGAGGGCCAGAGTCAGGCTGTGGGCTCCAGCGCCGGGCAGGGACGCACTGACCTTCTGGCTGGTGGTGGTGGTGATGGCCAGGCCATTGGGAAGGAGCCGCGCCATCTTGTGTTTTTTGATCATTTGCACAGACACCACAGGAATGACCACCTGAGGGGAGGAGGTATGCTTGTCTCAGGACGCGCCACAAGGGCACAGTCTCTTTGCTCCTGCGCTGGGCCCTGGCAGGGCATCGAGGAGCCTGGCTCCATGTGGGAGAGCGCTGGAGACATCCACCCTCTGACGCACGCTCCCCTTCTGGCTCTCCCACTGCCTGGCCAGCCTCGGCATCCCAGCAACTCCGGGCTCTCACCCTATACTGGGGGTGGCCGCTCGGGTGAGTCCCCTTCTCCAGTCATGGAGTTCCCCGAGCTACCACCTGGACACACATACGGCTCCCTCCCACTCTGATTTCTGAAGGCATTTTGGAGGCATCCATAGGCAGAATAATTTGGCTGAAAACCATTCAGGCCAGCTCAGGCGAGACGTGGGGTCCAGATCAGGGCCCCTGTCTTGGAAGGGGTGGGGCTACTTCCCCGGACACCAGGTGGGATGCCTCGAAGTGAGAGCCTTCACCAAGTGCCAGCACACGGAGATAGGCATGACTCAGGCCACACTGTGGGCCAGGGCTGTCTCTTCCCGAGACTGGGGCCAGGGCCTCACTGGGTTATGGCAGCTTTTACCGCTTGTTACTACCTTGATGTCCTTGCCAAAGAGGCTGGCATGGAAGCAGAGCCAGTTGGGGGAGATGTAGAGCCGACCCTGGAGAAGGAGGTCCCTCTGGAGGGCACAGGAACACACTGGGAAGACACAGGGAAGAACACTGCTGCAGCAAGGCCCACTCGGAGGCCCCAGGGCCTGGGCCTCATGCTCAGCTGTCCACAGAGTCCAGCCTCAGGGCCTGTCCCCTCCGAATCCCCCCCGCAATCCCAGGCTCCAAACAGCCCATTCCCCCAGCTCCCTGACAGTCTTTTCCTGAGGAGCCTGGCTGCCCCACCCACCAGACTACTGGACACTTCATCTTTGTTCACCCTTGCCCCAAAGGGTCCAGGCAGGTTTCTGACCCATCCCCCAAGTCTGGATTGTCACTCCCTCAGGCAGGACTCCTGTCCAGCCCTGTGCTGGAGAGAGGGCCTCGACTGTGCAAACACGCCCCACACTCAGTTGAGAGGCCTGAACAGGAAGCAATGGTCGCAGATAAGTAGAGTGAAATAAGATTTGGAAGCCCTGACATTTCCTCAAGAACACTTTCATCAATTCAACTTCATATACCAAATCAGCGCTGTCTTCTCACATTCTTGAAGGGAAAAGAACCAAGCACACCCGAAGGGCAGCCAGTTGCCATATCTAAATCATGCCTTGGGGGCCCCTGAGGGAGCACCCGGGCCTCAGGCAGTCCAGGCGCCTGCCCAGCCGCACCGGGGAAAAGCTCACCTTTGAGAACCACCTCCTCCACCGGGATGTCCTGAAACAACTTGTGGTACTGCTGGTTATATTTACTCAGTAGTGTCTGCAAACACACAACCTGGGTCTGAGAAGTGCTTGGAGATCAGACCAGCAAAGGGGGGCCCTGCTCCAGCCATCAGGGGGCCCTCTGGGGACTCGGCATGCCTGCTAAGCAGCCAGTGGGTGTGGAGGGCTGAGTTCCCAGCACAGCTTGTCTCCTGGGGACACTGGGTCCTGACAGGCAGCCTATGACTGGAGGGGACACACCACTCCCACCCAGAAGGTAGACACCAACTCAGGTTTCCTGGTGACAGACTTGGTGGCCAAAGAGCAGTTACTGAATTCAGGCCACCCAGGGCCCCTGTTGGTGGGCAGTGAGAAGCCAGCTTCACACACTTACCCCTATCTGGCTGCACTTCTTTATCTCTTCGCCCTTCAAGCCTTCTGGCCAGTGCAGACTGCAAAGGAGACATTCCGTTCCAGAGACAAGGAACCCTTGAGTTCTACCCATGCATCCTCAGTGCCAGTTCTGCCCTGGCTTCAAGCCAGAAGCTTGGGGCAAAGATTGGAGGCCAGGCTCTTTTCTAGGGGGCTCAGCAAGGGGATAAGCACAGGGAGCATGTAGCTCGGCCCCGGGAAGGGCACTCCTGGATGCAGGAAGGGGTCACTGAGAGCCTTCCTCCCAGACAGCTGTGAGCAGCGCCCCCTGCAGGATGCACGCTCCGCCTGAGCCTCCACCTCCAGAGATGCTTAGAAGCCACCCACCCTGGGGTGTCAAAAACCCTCTCCCATTTCTCTGGCCAAGGGGTAAGCAGAGGAGCAGCCCCAAGAATAAATAAGCAGGAGGCACAGGGATGGGGGTCAGTTTGGGGAATGGGTGACATGGCGCGGTCAGACTCACGGCTCCGGGGCCTGGCCATGGGCCATGATCCCAGCAGGACTGCCCTCCTTGCAGCCTCCTCTCACGGCCTGGAGCTCTGCGGTGAGGAGCTCAAAAGACTTACCTGACCTGTTGGAGGCCACTAGGGCTGGGGAGGAGGGGGTAGTGCTGAGATGCAAACCTTTGCCCTGCCAGGTTGGCCTGAGGACAGGTGGGCAGGGAGGAGGCTGGTAACCAGAGATGCCTGGACTCTGCTAGGCTGGGAATGGGACTCTGACTCAGCCTTAAGTTCCTCTTTCTAACAGGTCACCTCCTGAAGGCTTCCCACCCTCTATCTGTCAGTGTATCTGACTGGGAGTGGGCCTCACCTGGAATCCAGAGGTGCCTGAACCCTGTCTAGTTTCTCTGTGTAGGACACAGGACTCTTCGGAGAAGCCACCTTTCTGTGCATCTGTTGGTTGCTAAGGAGAAACAGGCCCACATCAGGAAAGGGAGTCTATGGCGACATCTTCTCCTACCAGCTCCACCATGCCCAGGGCAGCTGCCCCTGCCCTTCCGCCAGCTGCAAGCCTGGCCATGCTCCTCATGGTGAGGCTGAAGATGGCCCAGTCTGGAGGCAGCAGCTCAAGTAGACGTTGCGGGGCAGCTGAGAGACAGGAGGCTCACACCCTGTGTTTCCTCAAAGCCTGAAGTTCATGCCATGCATGGGCTGGAAGGGAAATCAATCTGCCTCATCCCGAGTGCCAGGCAGCTGTTAGGCCAGGCAGAGTTTGGCCTCTGGCCCCACCCTTGAGAAGGCACACTGGGAAGGACTCTGAGACTTGCTCATAGCTGAAAGCAAAAGTTTCTGCGTTGCCCTCACAGCATTACCAGAAACCGTCAGTTTCTGGGAAAGGGTGCTGAGCACAGGAGGCCTTATCAAAGCTGAGGGGCTGATGCAGCTTACGGTGTGGGAGTGGACGCCACAGCCAGTCCACAGGTGAGTGTGGGCTGAGAGGGAAGGGGCTGCCCCACACCAGGAAGTGGTCTCAGTCCCCATCGACAAACAGGGCAGCTCAGCCCTGAGAGCCAAACAGTCTCAAAAATGTCCCACAGGGAAGGCTCCAGAGGGAGGAGGCCCACTCTTCCTGAGAGGGTCAGCTCCTGAACAGCTTTGAAGTTCATGCCTCTGTTAAATAGCTCTAAAGCATAGGATGCCCCCCGCCCTTCCTGCCCCTCAGCACAGACAGGCTAGGAGTCAATAAAGCCTGAGCAGTCAAAGTAGCCCCCCACTGAGAGGGCCAGGGGCTGATGGGAAAGGAGGGTGGCCCAGAAGCAGGGCCAAAGCAGGGCAATGCAGGGGCGGGGAAGAGATAACAAGGTCCAAGGCAATGGTCTCTCAGCAGGGAAGGAGCTGGCACCTGGCGCCTGCACATCCCAGAGCAAGTCCCTCTTGGCTGAGGCAAATAAAAGTTCTCTTCTTTCAAGAATAGTCACCAATTCTGCTGAGATCATTTAGTCTGACCCCTTCCCACCATACCATTGTTCACTGAGACCTGCCCAGGGACAGGCTGTACCCAGTATCGCGCCGTGAAGGGCCAAACGACCTCCCCCAAGAATCAGCTCTGCCCCAGCCTTATGGAGATACTAGCATATACATCAACACGCATTTTCTGAGTCTTGCAAAGTCAAAGTGACAGGTCATGTTAGTGATTTGACACTTTGATTCCCAAAGTTAATTTCTGGATTTATTTGGTTCCATCATTTCCCATTTCACAGAGGGGATTTTTCCCCCTTGATTTATTTTATGCTTGTTATAGAAACTATGAGAAATATAAAATATATAAAATATGGTGATCAAAATCACCCATAAGGAAAAAAATTCCTCAAAATCACCCAAAGAAAATATTTATGCATAAGTATGTCATTTATGTGAGTGGGATTATATATCATATCATTTGTATGCCCTACTTTAGTTGCTAAACATGATTTCATGAGAAACTCCCCATGTTCCTGGGATAGATTCTCAGAAGTGGAATTTGTGGATGGAGAGTGAACATTTCTCAGGCCCACATCTGTCGGGAGCTGGTGGGAACCGCCACCTGGTGACACGGTCCGGGCAGCCGGAGGGCAGGGGCTGCGCTGCGGCCTTCCCAGGGGAGCGACCCCGATGTCCCGCCTGCTCAAATGTCCCTCCTAATAAATTTGCTTTTTTTGGTTTCAATTCAAGCTGACCCTTCAGGGAAGAGGCCATTTCCAATTCTCCCTGAAAATTTTAGGTACTGGCCCTAAAGGAAATTGGAAAAAAACACTAATGCCCTTGTGACTACCCCCAATGATGGGAAAGTGAGACCGCATGAGTATTGGACCCAAGTTTATGGGAAAAAAGATAAGGAAAATTTACCTGGGTGGAGATTCCTTCCCCACCCCTACGTGGCTTCCAAATGACATATTCAGTGATTAATGGCGACAGGTGGGTACAGAGAACAAATTATATTCTTTGGCTAGCTTGCCAAAGAACAGCCTGGCAAATTATAAACCAAATGAGAACAGGGCATTACCTAACTCCAGATCAGAAAAATCTCCATTGCAAGTCTTACTGAAAATAGGTCCAAGGCACAGTCCATAAAATTTGTCCCTGTCAAAAGGACATTGTGTCCTTTTAGAGAGAGCCTCTTTCTTTCCTACCGGAGATGAAGAACGGGAGTATAACTATGAAAGAATGAGGGCCCTACACAAAAACAATAGAATAGTGAACTTTAGATAGTAAAGAAACCAAGAGTCTGGCACCTACCTAACCTTTGCAAGATTTTCTGACCACAATAACTAGGAAGAAGGTCAAGTGATTTAATCTCATTTCCCAAACTCATGTAACCATGCTATGTGTCAGATAAATGATCAATGCCTGAACTTTACGTAGTCAAAGAGTATATGAACAAACTGCTACTTTTCATTAAAGGCCAGGCTCAGCTTTTGCTAATGTCTGTCCTCATTCATTCATTCAGTCGCGGGCGCCGTCCATCCTTCAGGGACTCCGGCACACACTCAAAATGCTCCCCAGATGCTACACTAGTCAGCATAGCCATCAGCACTACAGGAGGGCGCCCCTTCACCCACCCCTGGGCCTTACACTAGATGTTGTCTTTTTCTCACTTTGCAAATTCCATAGGTGAAAATACATTGTTTTCATTTCTATTTCTGCTTACTGATAGGTTGAAAATTTTTTCCCAAATATTTTCACCCAACTATGTCATCTGTGAACTGTCTATAAGGATCTTCATGTTTCCCTTATTGATTTATATAAATTCTTGAGAATATTAATCCTCAGTTTATCATTTTTATGAATATTTTCCCCAATTTGTCACATGCCTTCTAGTTCTGTCTGCAGTATTAATTTTTGTGTGGTAGATTCACCATCGCTTCCACCTCTCGGTTCCTCACTGGGTTCGAGTGTTTTGATAGGAGAGGCCTCAAGGTGGGGCCCTTACAGAGCTTGAACCCGCAGCCTGTGAGCCCACTGGGCCACCAGGGGAGACAAGGGCACGGGCTCTGCTCTAAGGGACACCCTCCAGCCTGCAGGACCAACCCTGGGGAGAAGGAGCTTGGCCATGGTTTCAGAAGCAGGGGGCCTGTCACCCAGGCACTGGAAAGCGTCGTTTGACTTGTCAGGGTTGCAGGAGCTCGGAGGACATGGAGTGAGTCACAGAAGGGCTCTGAGAGAAGGGAAGTGAGCATTGCCAACTGGGAGGGATTCTGGGCCTGCTTGCGTCCCAGCATCTAACCTGCATGGGAAATCATGCCTCTGTAGGCTCCTGAACTCAGTTGTTCCTTTGGTCCAAAAGTGACTTCCTCGTGGAGGGAGCTCTCCCCCCAGCCCCTGAGGTGGCGCCCACAGCAGCAGAACCCCAGCCTCCCTCTCGGCACCTGTCCCCCTTGGTCAGTGAGCTCCGATTATCCGCACTGCCACTGAAGCCCCCAAGCCCAGGGCAGTGCCCTGTGCTGCTTGAGGAATGACCGTGCGGGGACAGTGTAAGTAAGGCTGGAGGAGAGATGGATCAGGACAATAACAAAAGAGGGCTTTGCCCATTTCCCATGCCAGCCCCATGAACAGAATAACAGTGATAAAATGACAGTCACTAGGAAAAAATGACTTTCAAATATCTTTAAACTAAAAGCAACCCCTCTACATGCGATGAACAGGATGGTTAAAGTCCATCTGCTGTCCCTCCTGGCTGTCTTGAAAATACCATTCATTTATCAGCTTTTGCTAGTGTCTGTGTCTTCATTCATTCATTCAGTCGCTGACGCCATTCATCCTTCAGGGACTCCTGGACTCGCTGGGGCTGGACTCCGGCATACATTGGCCAAAATACTCTGCTTTCAAAATTATCTTCAATTCAGACTTTTTACTAATTAGTCTTCTCCCCTCAAGTGTTTATTTGGGAGTAAGAATAAAGACACGGGAGCAAAGTCGGATGAGAAGGCAGGGGGAGGGCACGCACCAAGGGGCCAGTCAGGCAGTGCTCCCCAGGACCAAGGGCCAGGAAGGAAGTACCCAAGGTGGGAGCCAGAGGGAGGGGAACCAGCCTGTGTCCCCCCACCTGCTGGTGGCCTGCATCCATTCCCACCTACACCTCCTTGAGCTTATCGCTCTTCCCGTGCGGGTTGTGCCTGAACCCTGCCCATCCATTCCCACCCCACCTCCACGTGCAGACTGTGGAGTAACATCAGGGTCTCCATGCCATAAAGATGATCCTTCCCCTCATGTCTAGATGTATCCTCCAAAGTGAGCACAGCATCATGCCCCCAGGCCAGCTTCCTGCTGAGCACCGAGTAGCCCTGAAAGCTTCCGTCCTCCACAATTACCCAAGCCCAAGCCCTCAACTTATTCTCCTCTCCAGCGCCACAACCAGTCAATCCCAAGGCCCTGAGAGCCTTGACTGTACTTAACCCACAATGCCATTTACTTTCTCAGCTCCTGCTGCCCGGCGTAAGCCCAGGCCACCATCGTCTTTTTCCTAAGTGGCGGCGATCACTAACACTGCCCCCAGCCTTGCCCTTACATACCTGACCTTCTCCCACATCCACAGTGGCAACAGAGCCGTCTGGGGCCAGATCTGACCCTGCCAGTCTCCTCCTCACTTTCCTTCTCCAGAAACTCTGAACTCCTCGGCTGGCCTTCCTGACCTTCCTTCCGGCTTCCCTTTGCAGCCTCACCCACGCAGTCCAGCTGAGCCCCATCGCCTCCACCACAGTGACCCTTCATGCTGACAAATTCACTCTACCAGCAGTTCAGATAACATGCTTATCTGCTGTGGGATTCCCAGTCATCTTTTAAGCCCCGGTGCAAATGCCACCTCTGTGAAGCCCTCCCTGACTTCCCCCCTGCAGAGCTGGCCAGTTTTCCTCTGTAGTCCCTTGCCCCTTCTTTCATGCTGCTGCCGTAGCACTTACCACAGCCAACTGGGCTTGTCTGTTCATA